TTTATGTTAAAAAAATAATGTAATGGGGGTTGGGTTAGGAGAGTCTGTAACAATATATTAAGACATGACCTCTGTCTCATACCGTACCATGGATAGTAAAGCATCGAAACGTCGGGAACCAAAAATCAAAATCGACCCATTTCCGCGAGGAATAATCCGACCACAAGATAGTTTTTTTTAATGCCGTGACAAGATATTAGAAGATTAAGCAATAAGCAAATATACGAATAAATAAAATTGACTTAATCAACCAAAAATCTTAAGATTATCCCCTTAATTAACATTACTATAATATTGTTAAAGCAGATAAATAACTTAATACGAATAAAAATTAAGAGTCATTTCATCATTTTTACCTAATTATGTTATATTTGGTCAACACACTATATAAAACAAAATTACCCGCCACGTTTCTTATTCTTTACGTGCACATTTATCGATTTTAAGATTTTTGGAGCTTCCACTAGATATGTACTATTTGGTACGTAAAGTTGTAGTACCTACGGTATAAGTACAATATTATAGTAGTTTTTACTTTTTTAGTGTTTCTGGTTAAATTAACTGAAATGTTAAGAATTTGTCTAGCCAAAAATTATTTAAAAAAAAACAGGCAGAGACTACTTAATACCTACCGACAGAGAAGGCTAGGAATAAGATTCTATTCTCGAGACGGATTACGGTTACAGACCTTTTTATTACATAAAAAAATAATTACTTCGTCCAACTTTTGTAAACTAGAATCATTAATTAACAAATCGATTAAGCTACAATATTTTATTACAGTCTGTAATAAGTCAAAAGGATTTAAGGAGATTCACCTAAGAGAAATAGAATGGATAATTAATTATACGTAGCAGTTTTGCGTTGCCCAGAGAGAACGATTAGGATTTATTAATTGCTCTTCATTTAAAGTTCGTTCAGGGTCTTACTTATTTTTTACGTAATGTTAAGGTTTTTACTTAATTTTTTAGCATTTTCGAAAATTTCTGAGGCCAAGATGCTCAGACCAATAAAAAGTATAGACGGAGCCGTTGTAAACAAACGCGACGAAATAAGTGAGGCATGGTTTTGGCTTTGTGTGCGTAGCTCGGTGTAAGATAGATTTGCGCATGTGTGCTAAAGAAAAATGTTGCAAGCGTTGTGCTTACGACTCCCAAGTGCGAGAGATATACTTCTGTTTTAGAATAAGATAATAATAAAAAATAACCAACCTTTTCTGGTGTAGCGTTTTTCTTGATTCGACGGTAACCACCCTTGGTGTTGTATACAAGAATGTTGTATACAAACAACACTAAATTTTGTAGGGAGCCACTCCACATCATTTCTGTTGTCCTGTAGGTACAGCTTTAATCCAGTTTTCTTTCCACGCTATATCAGCTGGGAACCTAAAATATATCTTATCAAACATAACTATTATTTGAATATATTTTATAAATACTTACGATTAATAATATACCTAATATACTCGAAAACTAAAATACAATAATAAGATTTAAAAAAAAAGTAAGTTGTCACGTGTACAAAAATTACAACTTCCCTTACTTTTGGGAAAACATATAGGGCGTCTAGAATTCGTGTTCAGAGAATTATGTTAAATATTTTTGCGATTTTGTTTAAATTCTACAGAAAATCAGTTACTTGTGAAAAGTTATCCCAGAAGACTTTTTTTGGAAACATGAATTGTTTTTGCAGCAGTTTATGACACAGGACGGCTTAATTTCGCAATTATTATTTTACCAAAAGTACGTCACACGCTCTCACTCGCTCGCGGCCGACTACCGAGCGGCCGTCTTCATATGGCTGAATCGTCTTCATATTACTTGCCTCACTTTATGTGCGCAATGTCTGTCTATACTTTTTTATTGGTCTGAGCCAAGATGTTCCTATTCTAATTCTGGAATTCAGAAGTTTGATTCCGGCACTGAATTCTTTTAAAGCCTTGCGATCTTTACCTTTAGCTAGCGACATGGTTTTTTATGTACCGTAACTGGTGACGTGCGGTCTGGCAGACCGCTAATTTATCTTCTCTGTCACGTATATTTTATAGATACGAGATTAACAGAATATACGAGATAAGAGTGGTAGGATGGTAAGCGTTTAGCCATAAACTTGATATTAGCTCTATAATCAAGTTGGCTCATTTTCCAATAACAAAAAAAGACATTACTTTATTAAAAAATATGTAGGTATAGACTACGAATAATAATAGACAAAAAATATTTAACAGTCGTTTATATAAAACAATTCATAAAAAAACTTTGTAAATTATCTAATTTAAAAAAAAAGTTATTATCGTTACCAATTATCTACATTTCTTCACTGCCTCAGTGGTGAAGTGGCTAGCATGTACGGCTGCACACCCGCAGGTCCTGGGTTCGAATCCCGGGTCGGGCCAAGTTTAGTTATTGAGTCTTTCTGTATAGTAAGTCTCAGTAACAGCCCGGAGTTGGGAAGTTGGCGGTGTTTCACCCCCGTGTCTCGGAGAGCACGTAAGCCGTCGGTCCTGCGCCTTAACTCTCACTGGTCGTGTCGAGTGGTCGTCCCACCGGAGTATGAGAGTGATAGGAATAGAGAGTGCACCTGTGTCTGCGCGTACACTTGAGCACTATAATATCTCCTGCGCAGTTGGCTAGTCTCAATGAGATTGGTCGCCGAAATCGGCTAGGAGAACATCATATTTCTTCAACCTAATTTTTCGTATAATACCTATAAATCATTTATTATAAGTAGTATAGTAGGTACACAAAATATTTACGACTGAACTATTCATAACCATCCATGTCTATATTTCTAAAATTGCCGGCAGTCGGGCTGTCGCCCACGCCTGATTCTCATAGCTAAAGGCAATGTACTCGTCTAACATTGTTTTTAAGCAAATTTATTCATTAACTAGCAGAACTCGCGGCTGCGCCCGCGCTCAATTCAAATCAACAACCCGCGCGGGTTCGTCGCTATGTATTTTTCATCCCCTATTTTACCCTCTTAGGGGTTGAATTTTGAAAAACGCTGAAATACGTAACTCACTATTATTGCCTTACTCAATTTATAAGAAATTTCATGCAAATATGTCCATGGAGTAAAAAGTTTCATACAAACTTTTATCCCCTATTTCACCCCCTTGGGGGTTGACTTTTGAAAAATCCTTCCTTAGTGGATGCCTTCGTCATATGAGGAATACGTGTGCGAAATTTCAATTTTCTAGCCTTTAGGGTGTGCCCTGTGCGTTGATAAATCATTCAATCACTTTTGCCTTTTATATACATATTAGATTACATACTATAATAGGTAGGTACTACTTTCAGTTTCAGCTGTTTATTATTACATTTCGATATTGAAAGTATTTTTCCGGCTACTGGCTATGTAAAAATACGTGCATACATACAAGGTATATGCTTTAGGAAAAAGAACCTATAGGTGTATCGACTATATCACAACAGATCCGAATCTGATCGAATCAAAGCACTCAAGCAGAAGGCCCGTACACTTAGTGTTAATAGCAATAATTAGACAATTTGTGATAATCGTACATTGATATTTCTACCGTAAATTTTTACCGTTTTTTTTCCGGAATAAAACGTAGCCTATGTGTTATTCCAGACTATAATCTATCTGTGCCAAATTTCATTCAGATCCGTTCAACCGTTCTGGCGGGAAAGAGTAACAAACATCCATACATACAAACTTTCACATTTATAATATTTGTTATACAGACTAGCGACTCACACATGGCACATAAAATAGATCTCTTTAGAGGTATAATTCCAAAATATATTGTTTTCATATTACTATTGATTTGACGACACGTTTGGTTTCTAGCGACCCCACTTGCTGTGCCAGTGGTCAAGGGTTCGAATCCCGCTGGAGGCATTCATATGTGTGATGAGCACGAATGTTTGTGCTCTAGTCATGGGTGTTTATATATATAATATGTATGTCTCGCATCCATAACACAGGCCTCGTAGCTTACCATGGAACTAGATGGTGCTGTGTTAATGTCCCAACATATTTATTTATTGATTTACGCGGCTCACTCCTTTATACAGGCTCCTTTAAGATATGCTTAGTAGTTACAACAGTGTAACAAAAGTGTTACCTCGGGTCCGGAGTCAAAAATTCAGGAGTCACATTATTTTCAAGTACACTAAACATACCTAAAAATATTATTCATAGAAAAAACAACAAAAACAAAAATCGTATAAACGGGTAATAAAACACAAAATAAAAAATCCAATAAGGATCATAATTTATTTATAAAATGATATTATACACTTTACAATTGACCAAACGACTTTTAAGGCGACAGGGTTTTATTACAATCCAATCACAATGCATCTGGTAATTTAAAATGATCTAGCTTTTTTTAAAATATAATTTCATACCCAATATATATCTGCTATATTCTAAAACTATTTTTAAAATAATACTATATTTGCATCGAATCAGATTTTCAATACCCGGTCATACTAAAAGTCGTATCAGTGATGCCTAAAAGCATCCTACATCCAATAATAATGACTAATATTTACAAACTATTTACATTGAAACAAAAGAGTACAATCGTGTCAGTTCATGAAATTCTTACAATTCATAATGATTTGCGATTCCAAAATCATAACATCTCATTCGACATATATATATGGATATACCTTCAACGTAAATGCTCTGAGAATCGGAAACGGTAAAATGGCGAGAGCACAATTCCAAAAATTGGGGGGAAAAAAATCGATATTATTAAATTTCATTTATATTTTTATCACAATTATATACGAATGCTTGTAAATAATTTTGTAACTGCATTCACATCTATTGCTTATCAACCGCCCTGTAGTACATTGAAAGGTTCACAGCCGACGAGGCGATCAATCCTCCACTCCATACACGTTTCGAAATTATTTTTAGCAGTCAGTGCCTCATTCATATATGTACATATATTTATTTTATATTTACACTGAAAATATCGAACACTGAGTATTTTTTGGAATTCACTTCACAAACCACTAGCTAGGATTATTCGTGTTGTTTATCATTTTCAAATTAACCGAAGCACTGTTTCCATTCTTCTCTAGTCCCGCTAAAAAGTCTTCTAGAAGGTTCGCGAGCGCTTTCCGCTTGAAACGCAACGATTCACTTATCACGTCACGTATCACTTCCTTCTTAACATCCACACTACCTTTCAATTGTTTTAAATATTCGAACAGCTTCGTGAAATCTGTTGGAAAAATAAAAAAAATTAGTATTATTTTTATATATATTTTATAAGTATATTCATAAACATACAAAATTATAAATAAATGCTTACACTAAATATATAAAAACATAGATACACATTTCCTAACAAAAATCTCTTTAAAAAGTGGCATCGACATGTGACGTTAAGCCAAAAAAATGAATAAAACTCAAAAATCAAAGGCTCTAATTGTCTAAACACAAATTCGAACTTACACACACCACATGAAGTACTTTTTGAAACGAACCAACGTGCGTTTTAATTTTGTCATCCGAAAAGCAATGAACAAAAGAGATTTGAAAAAAGCGCACACTTTCGAATTCTGCACTTTTTTTGAGGATTCTTTTGAGACGCTAATTTTGTATCTTGATTTTTTGTTTGTCAATCATCGACCATAAAAGCATTAGATATACAATACCAGATATACAATCCCATGCAAAAGATCTCTTAAAACTGTCACCAATTGTGTTTAGGTAATTAGTTAAAATAAATATACGACGACGTAAATTGAACCTTAAATGCAATTCTTAAAGTAATTTTCACAAAAAAATATTAAAAGCGCGCTCAAATGTTCAAATAAAAACTTTTTAACAAAAAAATAAAAACCGACATCAAACAAAAGCACTAAAAAGTAAAAAATAACTGATTGGTAGTTTTCATTTACTATACATACCTAATCAAATATTTTCGAAGTCGGTGTGCTTTGCTTTGTATGGGCTGGCACCGATTTCGAAAATACTTGATTAGGTATATATTTAATAGGTAGGCTTTAATTACTTAGCCAGCAATTACAAAGCACACCGACTTCGAAAATATTTGATTAGGTATGTATAGTAAATGAAAACTACCAATCAGTTATTTTTTACTTTTTAGTGCTTTTGTTTGAAGTCGGTTTTTATTTTTTTGTTAAAAAGTTTTTATTTTTCCCTTTTTAGTGTAGACAGTAGTAGCAAAGTAAGGATTCTAACGTGTTAGGCTTGTCAAATGAAACAAAATAAGCCCAAACTCAAAGTATCTACTATAGCCGTTGAAGAGTTCCACCTATCCACCTTCTGGCCTTGCCATCAGATCAGGTCAACAACACCGAACCACTGTACTATCAACGGAAATAGAAATACTTGCAAAGTTTCAAGTCAATATGACAATTAGAAGTAGGTTAAATTCATCATTAGTTGTTTTTCCACCCTTAGGGGTGGTATTTTTTTTTTTGAAATTTAAATGGGACCAATCTGGAAGTATACCCTTTCAAACAAAACAAAAATTGTCCAAATCGGTTAATAAATGACGGAGTTCTGAGGTAACAAACATAAAAAAAAAAAAAACATACAGTCGAATTGAGAACCTCCTCCTTTTTGAAGTCGGTTGATAAGCGCTCATTCGGTGAGGATAATTTTTGTCGCCGATTGTGTATCTAGTACTTTTTTAATCGATGTTGTCAATGACTAAATATAACGATAGTAGTAGTTAACATTGAATGCCTTACAAAAATAACTAATTAATATTTTAAATAAAACTTTTCGGATTTTTTCGCGGATTTATTCAGATTTTTGATTCTCGACGTTTCGAATGCTGTAAAGCAAAAATCAAAATAAATACGCCAAAAAATCCGAAAACAAAGTTTTATTTAAAATGTCAAACATTCGCGTAAATCTAGAGAAAATATTAACTAATCATAATTTATATTTAAGTAAAAATATATTTATTAATATGTTAAACAATTCACTATCTTTAGTAATCAAAACGAAGCATTAAAACAAATTTAAAACTCTTTTATCATCGTGTAGAACGGTATAGTACTTTTTATACTACCATGGATTGCGTCGAGAACTTTCACAAGTGATTGCCCGCATTACAACGCGACGGCTGTGTGACATAAGTCATCTACTACATAACTAAGACAATTGTATCATCATTACCATACTAATGTCTACACACGACTTCGTCTGCGTGGTTTTTTTTTATTTCAATGTTATTGGCTGGCCTGACCTGGCTGATAGTAATGATAAGTTTTAAAATAAAGTCATCTATACATAATGTATATACATACATAAATAAAATTGAAGTGTCTGTTAATTGAATTAACTATGTTTTCTCAAGTACATAGAGTTATTTATATGATACCTACTACTGCCTAAGCATCACTTTTTAAAAATTCGTCTGTCTGTCTGTCGGTTTGTCCGGGGTAATCTTTGGAAAGGCTAACCTGATTGTAATGGGATTTTCACTGAAAGATAGAGAACTTTGAAAAGCTACATGTAGGGTTTGTTTTATTACGGAAATATTTAGGCTTTCAGCGCAAAAGCCGAAAATCCTAAGAAATAACGCAAAATTCGAATTTACGGTTTGACATAAAAGTTCACCATAGCATGTGTATATCTCCTAAAGTACATTCATAATAACTATTTTTATCTATTGAAAACGTAACTAGTGTTTAAATAAAATTTAAAACTATTATCGTATGGAATCGCATTATCAAGTAGAACGTATTGTATATATATGTCAAGTAGCAATTTAAATCAGACTCCATTCAATTGTTTACATATGATTGAATCACTGACATATGAACATCTTCATAAACATTCTCATTTATTTCTTTAATAGACAAATCTATCCAACTGGCCCGTACATTTTTACGGGTTAAAAAGCAGCCTATGTGCTATTCCAGACTATAAATCTATCTCTGTGCCAAATTTCATCCAGATCTGTTCAGCCGTTCTGGCGTGATTGAGTAACAAACATCCATCCAAACTTTCGCATTTATAATATTAATGGGATATAATGAAATGGAATAATAAATAATAATCGTAAATACCATTCTAGTTTTAGTTTGTACACAATTTTTTTACGTTTAAGTTTTTTAAGTTTACTTATAGTATTGTTGATCGAAGATTTGTAATAAGAATATTCTTAGAACTGAGTATAGCATTTGAGACAAACAATTTTTCCTACATTTAAACATTATATAAACGTATAATAATTACCTAGTACCGAATTATGTATGTTTTCTCATCTTTACAGATAAATAAAATTAAAGTTTTTTTGTAATGTCAAAATAACAACTTTTTAATAAATGCATATAAAATTATATAAGGTACAAGAAAAACACAACTTATAAATTTTTTGTCTGTCTGTTTGTTCCGCCTAATCTCCGAAACCGGTGGACTAATTTTGATGAGACTTTCACTTTTGACGTTATAAGGAGTAACTTAGGCCTATACCTTTATTTTAGAAAAGGAATTATAGTTCCGCTCAAAAAAGTTAAAACGTACTAAGGGACACGCATTCAAACCAAGCGAGGGTAAGTCGCTAGTCAGAAATAGAATTAATCAACATGTGGATAGAATTTAGTACCTTATGCTTACATGTGGCGCAAGCATGTTTATTATAACGTTCTGGCCACACATACAGTTATGTATATGAATTATTTAGACTAAGTCAAACATCAGTATTATATTATACTAGCTTGCCCCGCGGTTTCAGCCGCGTTAAATTTGTTTGAATATTAACATCAGTTTTACAATAATGTATGGAAGTCTGCCTGATTTTTTGACATTTATGATTACTGCTCCGCTCAATTGGGGTTTTTCAAATCGGATTAGTAGTTCCTGAGATTAGAACGTTCAAACAAACAAACTCTGCCTCTTTACAATATTAAGTATAGATACATATGTGAGCCGAACAAGAACCAAACCATAAAGGTATTAAACAGTATGAGTCAGATGTTCTCACACTACACCACAACGGCTTTAAACTATTCTATCTACTTATCTAAGTAAAAATATATGATAACAAACGCACACAAGATCTAATTCTCACTACATACCAAAATAAAAAGTACAAGATAAGAAATATTCAAGTTGCAATGAAAATAAACAATTTGATTAGAAAATACTCTTAAAAAACCGACTTAAAAAAACACTAAAAAGTAAGTTAATAATTCATTGATAGTATCATTTACGACCTACTCAAATATTTTCGAAGTCGGTGCCAGCCGATACACAAAGTATAGTATAAATATAGTAAATGAAAAGTAACACTCAGTTATTTTTTTTACTTTTTAGTTGATTTTTTTAAGAGGTTTTGAAGTGAAACTTCTTTAGAATCGTTGTGATTTGAAACTCGATGCAACGGAAATGCGACAGTAAAAAGAGACAAACATATAAATATATAGGATTAAGCCGGCGATAGAATGAGAATACATTGCGATGATGCCATGGTAACCGTTGTCATGGTAACCGTTGTTATTTGATAGAATACATTACAAAGGAAGTGAAAAATAATAAAATTCATTACTGATTATTATGTAATGTTTATATTTATGTCAAATAAAATGTAAAATAACTTTTAAACTTGGTAAAAATAATATAAATAAAATATGATTATCCTACTCCTGATACTCTATATTCATATCATTTTCTGAAGTTTCACTTCTACAATGTGTGAATTGCACATTTTCTTTTTTTTTTTATAACTTATTTATATTTTATACTATTTATATTTTTTACTATCCCAATCGAATAAAAAAAATGTCAAAATCAGACTTCACTGTAAAAAGTTATGCGTGGTCCAAACATATACGTGTCGAATTGAGAACCTTCTAGCTTTTTAGGTCGATTTATAAAAGTAACTTTTAAATAACCCATTTATTTATACCTTCAAAATATTTGACAAAAATTAACCCCTAGAAACCGATTCATAATAAGTTAATAAATAGCATACCTAATTAATATACAGTATACACATTAAAAAAACACATTGAAAATATTCTCCTTTTTCGAAATCGGTTAAAGGTTCATAATACATACCTTTTCCCGGCCTCCGCACCGCCCGATATACTTCCGCGCGTACTCCAAGATTATGCTTTTTGATCTCCGCCAGCTCCTTGCGAGTCGGTTGAGACGGGAGAATTATAGGTGGGTCTTGTCTTTCGCTCTGTAAAAAATATCAACAATATATAATATAATATTTTGAATTGTTATAATTTGTGAATTACAATTTTTAAATACATAATTGCATTCAGCCCTTTCTAATCCAACTGCTGGGGATGGGCCTCCCGTCAATACGAGGGGGATCAGGCCATAGTCTACCATTCTTTTATAATGCGGGTTAGCGGACTTCACATGTCTTTCGAAAACTTGCTAGGTTTTCTTCGACATGCAGGTTTCCTGACGTTTTCCTTCACAATAAAGCGAGTGGTAATCATGTTTGAAAATGGTTCGCATATGAAAATATCAGAGGTGTGAGACCCGGGATTTGAACCCGCTTCAATTGGTTTCCTAAACAAGGGCATTACCATTGGGCTACTACTGCCTACAAAATTAGTATTCTATAATATAATCTTTGTAATTAAAATTTGATGACCTCATTGATTCTCACACCTCGCGGTTAATTCCTAAGAAATCAATTGTTAACCGAGCCACCTGTGGCTCAGCAGTCGCTGAAAGGTTAAATTTATTCAAATTGAAACAGGAAAATGTCTGTCGGGTTAGCTAGTAATAACTATAAATAATCATTTTACAAATATTGGATCAATAAAAAACTCGAAGCATAATATGTAATAGAATTATTAAAGTATTGATTATAATTGAACAAAATGTATAAAAATATACTAAGTGTTGCTGCCGGCTCCGACCGCATATTTTTGCTTTTAAAATTGCTAACTCCCAAAGCTCATAGAATAATGCTTACAACATATAATTTATTTAATATTGAACTGGTAGTCCAGAAGACCACGTTCAAACAGACAATCGATTAGAATATATTCCAATAATTATAAATATTTTACTTTCTTAGATTTACGCGAATATTTGACATGTTAAATAAAATAAAACGATCTTTTCGGATTATTTTGCGGACTTGTATTGATTTTTGGTTCCCGACGTTTCGAATGCTTTACAGCAATCATGGTCACGGGAGACTCTCTCGAAATAATCCGAAAAGTTTTAAAAAAAAATACAAGGTAAGCAATAGTATAACGAAACAAAAACAACCAAGAAATTGTATGCTTTTGTTTTGACATAATTCTATGAGAAAAAGTTTTTGAATTAACCCTTCATAAAGAAAGGTTTCCTTAAAAAGTTACTTCGTAATTGAAGCCCTTGGAATAAAACTTTAGACAACATATTGTCCTTAATGCAGAAGTCATAATTTAAATGTTAAATTAATTACTTGGTAACTTAATGTTTTTTTATTTTATTTATATGGGACCTTAGAGTTAGCTGTGCTAATACGATTGGCTAACGATTATAACTCATGTTCAATCTCTTCTACATAAATAAAAATAAATGCTCGTATGTTTGTTCTAATAGCTCTTCTATACATATAATAAAATTCTAACTGAGTCAAATCTGTACATTAAATATTTTTTGGAAAATCTTATTTAAATATATATTGTTATCGATACAGAGGCTGAATCTATAGTTTTTAGAATTTTTGTCTGTCTGTTTGTCTGTTACCGCATCACAGAAAAACTACTGGACGGATTTTGATGAAATTTGGTATGGTCATAGCTAATTATCCGGGTCAACATATAGGATACTTTTTATCGTGGAAAAATATCTCATTTCTGAGAAAAAATACAAAAACTGTAATGTAACACTTTAAATACAATAACCGTAATGTAAAAAAAAGTGTAATGAGTATACTAATATGTAAAACCTAAGAGTGGTTTTTGGTCATCTGAACGCGGGCGAAGCCGCGGGCGAAGCCGCGGGCAATGCTAGTCTTCTATACGTTTCTAAGGTATTGATCCGATTATGATGAAACTCTGGTGAGTTATTCTGTATACACCTATGAAAGTTCCTGGCGCAAAAAAATCTTTGGACATTTGTTTTTTATGCCTTTCTAAACTTTAGGGACGTACCCGAACAAAGCGTGGATAAGTCACTAGTAATTACTATACAACGTAAAACATAACCCAATATTAGTCTAATTGGATGTAGTTATGCAAAATAGATCCAATCACAAAAACTTACTTTTGAGAAAATAGGAGTTTTATTAAAATTGATATATCAAAATAACAAGACCGTAAAAATATATATAATAAAACCATAATATTGAGTATTTTATCAACTTTATGTATACATACATATACGTTGAAATGACAGTAACTAAAAAAACTATTTTCTTGGGCTGGATCAATTTTGCATAACTACATATGTATGTCCAGTTAACAAAGTCTAAAAGCAATAACAAACCCATACCTTCCGTTTCCTCTTCCTGTTCCTCGCAATATAGTTGTTCTCAGCCGCGATGCCCTGTATGATGGCGTTGATCTGCAGCTCCTGCGTGTCGTGCGGCGGCGGCGCGCACGCCTCCGCCGGCGGGGACGGCGACCGCGGCATCTTGCCCATCGTCGTGTACGCGTCTGGAATCATTTTTTTCTTTTAAATAAACTATATCAAAATATAAATAATTATTGCTCAGAGTGCCAACGAAAGTGAAAACCAGACTAATAATAATTTCAATTTACAAATTATAAAATTTTAATTATTCATCCTATAATCAATTTAAAAATTAAATAAATACAGTTGTTCCAAAGTTATAAATTTTCACTGCTGTCGACAGTCCTCATGACTGCCAATTTTTCAACAAACATACCTTAACATACAAACATACCTTAACATACATACCTTAACATACCTTAGAGGGTGAAACTAGGGATGAAAGTTTGTATGGGAAATCAAGCTAGGGACGAACCCGAGCGAAGCGAGAGTTAGTCGCTAGTTATTTATAAGCTTATATAGACTATTTTATAGTCGTAAGTGGTAGCAGTGGAATATTAGTGTTTATATCAAGATCTTAAGAATAGGGTAGTTTAGCGAGAATTAACGCAAATGCATGTACGAAGCAGGAGCCGATCACTAGTTATCACTAAAATGAATTCAAGAGTTTATTTATGAATTACTTCAATATTTCTAGTTACAGGTATTATTTATTTATGATAAGGAATTCTACAGGAATCGGTGGAAATCTATAGTTATTGTCCACTGCTTTTTGAATCTTTGGTCTAGGTCTTGTAATACCTAATCAAACTATTATAGATAGATTTTTAGACATTAATATTAAATACTTGGGCTACCGAGCTTCGCTCGGAGTTTTTGGCCTAAAGTACACTTTTCTTCTTTTTTTTTTAAACTAAAAATTTTAATAAATATTTAAAAAAAAACTGTATGCAACCGAGATTCGAACCTGGACACGATATTTTGGGTGGAATAATACAAAAGAAAACTGCATGAAAATTCGAAAACACGCGTTTCTCAGACGTAAGACTGATCTGGATCGATTTGTCGCCCCCAAAAACCCCCTGCACACTAAATTTCATGAAAATCGTTGGAGCCGTTTCCGAGATTCAGATTACATATATATACAAGAATTACTCGTTTATATAATGTAATTCGATAAGGACTAGTCTAGTCTCGACATAATACTCATACATGAATTAACTATTCTCCGGTCTTTTTAAGTATATTACGGGTTTGTATGAATCATCAAACACAAACCTCCATTGAGAAAAGGCTTTATAACAGGCGGTAGATTAGTCGGCGCGGCGGGCTGCGGCGACAGCGGGAGCGATGGACCTTCCATTTCCATGTTTGGAGGTTCCTGAAAATCACAATTTATCTATTCAGTTAAATAAAATTGAAGTTCTTACTATATGCATATGAAATTATATACATACAGTACTTATAAGAAAAACTCAATTATTTAAAAAAAAAATCTGTATGCCTGTCTGTTTGTTCTGGGTAATCTCTGAAACGGCTAGATTGATGAGACTTTCACTGGCAGATAGCTGATGTTATAAGGAGTACCTTAGACTACTTTTATTTTCAAAAAAAATAAAATTAACTATCATAATATAAGCATAAAATTTCCTGGTATTTTTGAATTTTATCTATAGTTTTTTTTAGAGAAATTGCTTACTATCCGATTGCTCCTTTTGTATGGCCAATAAAAACAAACATTGGCAAGGATTAAACCTGCAAATGCAAGTTAGAACAAAATACTGAGACTAAAAGAATCAATCATAAGTCAAGCCAAACTTTGGCTTGAGTATTCTTAGCATACAAAAAGAATACCTTTTTAGGCTTCATTAACTGTTTCAATCAATCTATGTTCAAGCAAACTTTCTTTAACTTGGAGAGTAATGATTTTTACTAGTAAGGTGGCATACATAAACATCAGGGGTGTCTCTCACAAGTTTCAACCTGGGGACAAAAGGGAAGCAGGGAAAAAAAAGAAGTAGGAAGAAAATAAACAGAGTTAGCATCTCATTCACTCAATGAGAAACAACAGGAATACTGCTGCTTCACATGAATATTTTGTTATAGCTTATTACTTCCCAGGTCAACCGAACCCATCCGAGCTTAAGAAATAAACTTAACTACTCAATAAAATATTCAAAAACGTTCTCATAAGGCCAATAACTCATAAAAGCTACTTCACTATGTATATAAAACTATACTATGTAGTATAAAACAAAGTCGCTTCCCGCTGTCTGTCTGTCCATATGAATGCTTAGATCTTTAAAACTACGCAACGGATTTTAATACGGTTTTTTTAATATATCGAGTGTTCAAGAGCTTATATGTATAATACATGCATATTATAGTACAGAAAAGCCGAGAAATTCAAAGATTTGTATTTCATACCAACCATTAAAACGTACGAAGCGAGGGTGAGTCACTAGTATTCAAATAAAAATATGAATAATTACCTCAGGAGGCCGTCCAGATGGCAGGTCAGAGGGTACAGGGGACAACGGGGATGTCGGTCTGCGCGTGGTCACCGGACTGAGCGGCGCGGTGGGTGGCGGGGCGGTCGGCGCGGCGGCGACCACCGCTGGTGGCGGGGTGGAGGGCCGCCGCGCCACTATGTGGTGGGGGAGAGGGCCCGCCTTGCGCTTGGGGGGCGGAGCCCGAGGGCTCTCCGACCCGCGCTTGCCCCCCGCGCCGCCGCCGGCGCTCCCCCGCACTGCTCCTAGCGGGTCTATATCCGCTTCGTCTACCATCATTCTCTGCAATTATAAAGGCGTAAATATTAGTTTTCTTTTTCCGATTATCTTGTATATGTGAAATATCAAGAATGTAAAATAGGTTTTGAGAAAAAACCTAGACCGAATATAAAATTACTATAGAAACTTTAATATAATAAGCCACATTTTTAAGATATAAGGTAAATTGAACACTTGCTGCTTCATCTTTTTATATAGGTATTATTAATAAATATTGCACATGTTGATATCAAATATATTTGTACACAGGAGATGTCCTGTCATCATCATCATGTAATTCCAATAGCTGTACTTATATTATATAGAGATAAAGTTAGAAACTTTGAATATATAAGTTTCAAAATTACCTAATTACTAGTACTGAATTTTTTCTTTATTATTCCGAGTGATATAGTCTACATTATAACTCAATAAATTTTACCACAAGGCACATTTAAGGTCTGATTGAACCAAGTAGCCAATCGCTAGTTCCAAATAGTCTAATACAGATTAAAAAAAAATGAAGTGTATGTTTGTAATATCAAAACAGCTTTTTACTAATTGCATATGGTATTATATACCTTATTTATAAGAAAAACACAATTATATAAAAAAATTGTGTGTCTGTCTGTGTGTTTTCCGGCTAATCTTCGAAACGGCTGGACTAATTTTGACTGACTTCCACAGGCAGATAGCTGAAGTTATAAGGAGTAACTAAAGCTATTTTTATTTTAGAAAAAGAATTAAGGGAATTAAGGTTCTGCTCAAAACCTGCATGTGCACCCGAGCGAAGCGAGAGTAAAATTCAGATACATCCTATAAATAAAGTCAGTTTAATCAATACCTTATCAATTTTAAACGGGTTTCCAAACATGTGCTGTCTAACAGGCTGCGATTCGATTTCACGTAGCTGTGGGGTCATTCGTTTGAGATATTCCTGGTAATTCCCCATCTGCGCGACCGGCATCGAGTGCACGCTGTCCTCGTCGACGAGCCGCGTGTGAGCGAGCGACGGCTGTAGGAAGTTCGCTCGCATTCTTACAACCTGGATAAACAATTTCATTATTAAACTAGCAGAACCCACGCCTTCGCCTGCGTTCAAAGTATAAAATAACAAACTCTTCTTTCTCTTCCCTTTACAATGATCGATTTGTTGACATTTATGATTACTACTCCGCTTGCTTGTGTAGTAGCAAGATAGCCTATAGCCTCGCTAAATGAACGGGCTATCTAATGCAAAAAGAATATTTCAAATTGGATTAGTAGTTTCTGAGATTAGTGCATTCAAACAAACAAACTGTCTCTTTATAATATTAGTGCAGATTTCATGTCTATTATATGCTACCATCCAATTAAAAAATCGTATCAATCATAGATAAGTATTGTTTGGTATCTGTATGAAATTTTCTAACAAATATTAATTTCTTAATGTGAAGTCCTATGTATTAAAACTTTTATCAAAAAACACTTTTCGTCTATACAATCCGTTTAGACTGATTATACTATACTACCTATATGAATATTTTATAAGAAAAAAAAACAATGTACCTGATCTAACAAATCCCTCCGCTGTATATCAAATGGGTTTCTATATGTGTGCGCTTGAGCTTTGTGCCTGCCTCGCGACAAACCGACTACGAAGCCACCAAATTCGTTAAGCTGATCCCTTAAGGCTGTGAACTTGTCCTGGAGACACGGGTGCGTTGTTAGATCCTTCTTCAGAGGGGATCGGGCCATTACACGAACGCTCTCTGCTACCTGGAATGTTATTAATGTTTTATATTAAAAAATATGCATTTATTATGTAAAAATAATTATTTTGTAAATAGGCAGTGATAGCCCAGTAGTAATGCGCTCGCTTAGGAGAGTGAGTGAAGCGGGTTCAAATTTCGTGCCTCACACAATGATAGGTGGGATTTTCGTGTGTGAATCACTTCCAACATAATACAGAAATCTAAAAAGAACGATTATTGTATCACTTGTTTATTTTATTTTTGCATTTTACCTTTTGATTGTTCCCAGTGGATGCTTTATTGATGACGTCAGCACAGAGCTTTTCAAACTCTATCTTAGCTTGGTTTTTCAGTCTTTTCAAATAATTTAATACAGAGAAGCTGAGAGAGTTGTCTTGAGTGTCGGGAATCAAACTTTGTACCAGCGGCGTTGATGCACCCATCTTGGTAAGTGCTCGACGAAGAGGCTAAAAAATGACATAAAAATCGTCATACATTTTAATACACTTATTACCTATTTACTATTAGTACACATCAGTTGGTTTTAAAAAACCAACATTCATCCTTGCCGGGAGATGTAAATACTCGTATGTATGTCTCCAACTTCATAATACTATATTCCTTCGTGAACTTGTTTTCATCGTTTTACTTATCTTTTATGCAGTTGGGTTATTTTATTTTTATAATATATTTTTTTATGAGGGAATAAAGAATATTACAAACAAAAAACATACAAAAATAGGCGCGAAAATTATAACCCTTTCTTTGCAGTCGGGTAAAAATAAAAAAAACACTAATTTTACAAACATGCAAGATCAAAAAAAATTAAATGGCAACATTTTGTGTCGAATTCAAAATGTCAATATACTAAGTAATCGATAATAATGGAATCCAATTCCAAATAATTATACATAAATAATTAATATTCATATGAACAACATGATATCTTTTATTTGCAGATAAAGTTGTTCTAATTTTAACCAGTTACTAGTCGTGTAGTGGCAGTGCTGACGCGCACATTTTGACTATATAGTAATTGTGTCGCGCCACTAATATTATAAATGTGAAAGTGTGTTTGTTTGTTTGTCCTTCTTTCACGTTTAAACTGAGTGGCGGATTAGCGTGATTTTTTGTGTAAGATTTTTTGCGTGAGAGTGACAGGTTACTTTTTACCGCTGAGATTATTTCATTCTCACGGGAAAATATGTTATAATACAACCCAAAAAAATATTTATGATCAGAATTACTTGAAACTTATACGCATTTTAGCATTTTTCGCAATTCATCTTTAAGGGGGTAAAATAGAGTAATTTAGTTAATACTTTCTTAGATTTACGCGAATATTTGACATTTTAAATAAAACTATCTTTTCGGATTTTGTCGCGGATTTATTTGTATTTTTGTTTCCCGACGTTTCGCATAAAACGTTTCGCAATAAATCCGCGACAAAATCCGAAAAGATAGTTTTATTTAAAATGTCAAATATTCGCGTAAATCTAAGAAAGTATTATGTGAACCAGTACGGACTGGAAATCGCAAACCAAATACGCCGGTTAGAAGATCTGAAGACAAAGCGCGCAAGATTATTAACATCTTTAACATTCTTGAAGAGATGTCGAGATCATCGTCTCATTCCTACGTGTGTGAAAATATCATCTAAAAAGAACATACGGGGAAGCGCCAAGATCGTTAACAAGGCAAGTTTTAAGTTGTTACGGACGGTGATTCGTCAAACCCGCCGTGATCTACGCAGTAACGACCGGTACGTAGAACAAACGTCCCTTAATATAAAGACAGTATTGACACCAAGTGATTTTAATGATTGCATTGAAACTTTAAATAAGCGCGAAACATCTAAATTTAACCAATGCAAAAACAAACATATATTAAAATACCAAAAATTAGTCGAGAAATATAACATCAAAAAGAAAACCAAAAACAATAACGGAACGCGCCCGTCTACCACAGTTTCAAATTCGTGCGTACGTCAAACAGTTGTCAATCTGTCAAAACAAACATTGGACGAATCTACTATTCAAGTACTAAGTAAAGGCTTAAATTTTGCTGTTGCGCCGACACGCATCCCTTATGAGAATATTATTTGTGCAGTTGAAGATGCTCTGGCTAAAAATACTATGAAATCTGAGGATATGGAAGCCATACGTCAAGATGTTTCATCTTTGTTACGTCGTAGCTCAAGGCCCAAACCTAATCTCAACAAACAACAGTATTTAGCGTTGAAGAACTTACGCAGCAGGTCAGACATTATCATACTACGCGCAGACAAGGGAAATGCCACCGTCGTGATGGATACATCAGATTACAATGAGAAAATTAAACAACTTTTGTCGGATGAAAGTACATATAAAAAGGTCAAAACAGACCCAACCACCACTGTGTTAAATAATACTAAAAAGCTTATTAAGAAACACTCCGATGCATTGAATCTTGATGTCAAAAATCTTGTTCCATCTTGTGCAAAGCCGCCTAAACTGTATGGACTTCCAAAGATACACAAATCTAACGCTCCGCTACGTCCAATTGTGAGTCAAATCGACACACCGACTTATAAATTGGCCCAACTAGTAGCGAAAGTACTCTCAACACTCAGAGGACAAACATCAGCGTTTACAAGGGACTCATACCATTTTGTCAATGAGATAAAACACCTACAACTCATGGACAATGAAACTATGGTCAGTTTTGATGTACAGTCTCTATTCACCAACCTACCAGTAGAGGACTGTGTCAAAATAGTATCAAGAAAGCTACGGGATAATAGTATGCAAGAAGAATACACTGAACTTTTGAAACACTGCCTTACATCTGGCTATCTATTGTGGAATGATGAATTCTACAAGCAAGTGGATGGAGTGGCCATGGGTTCGCCGGTCTCTCCCGTTGTAGCTGACATCTTCATGGAGGCCTTCGAGGAGACCGCCCTAAACACATCACCTGTAACCCCTCGTTTCTACAAGCGGTATGTAGATGACACTTTCACAATATTACCATCTGATAAAATATCTGTATTCTTAGAACATCTTAACTCCATAAACCCTAAAATACAATTTACAATGGAATTGGAGTCTAATAATTCTTTAGCTTTCTTAGATGTATTAGTCATACGTAACCCAGATAACACCTTGAGTCATACTGTGTATCGAAAGAAGACCCATACTGATAGGTACTTGAATGGTGAATTTCACCACCCCCCTTCACAGTTAGCTACCGTGGGAAAATCTTTGTTTCAGAGGGCACGCGGGATCTGTGACGAGCAACACCTGGCCGGAGAACTGCAACATGTCAAGCAAGTTCTGCGAGACAACAAGCTGCAAGTGCCGCGCCTACGTCACAGGGACCGAGTGAAACCAGCCACAGTCGAGCGCGTCCCTGCAGTCCTACCTTACATGAGAGGCGTCACTGACAAGATTGGCTACATTCTAAAGCGAGCTTCAATTAAAACTTACTTCAAGCCGCCAAAGAAAATTAGTCAGTTTCTACCACCTGTCAAGTGCCACATCCCTCTACAAGATGCAGGAGTTTACAAGCTTGATTGTGATTGTGGGCTCTCTTACATCGGACAAACAGAGATCCATTAGAACCCGGGTCAAAGAACACATAGCTGATGTGAAGCACCGTCGCAATACAACATCTGCTGTCTGCAAACATAGCCAGGACCGCCCAAGCCATTATATTCGCTTCGATAGGCCTCAAATCCTGGCGAAAGAAAACCGATATCGCCCTAGAATGATTCGAGAAGCCATAGAAATTAAAAAACATCCTAATTTCAATAGGGAAGATGGCTGGGTACTACCATCGTCATGGGATCCTGTTATTAATATAATAAAATCTAATAATAAATCTAAACATAACAGACAGGTAGATGTAGTAAGTTCTTACTGTGTAGATCAAAATGATAGCATTTCTGATTAATAATATTTTTTCACTTTTTCATTTGTAAATGTATGTAGTAATGTGTTGCTTAATAATTTGTTTTTAAATAATAGCAAATTTAAATTAAAATTATTATTTTTAATTAATCTTAACTTTTTCAAATTACACATAGATCAATTGTGGCTTAAATAATTAATACTATATTTTATATTTTTCTTATGGTTATAAATATAATAATGGCAACACTAAATATAGATTGCTAATTAATATTTTTAAAATTGTAATAATTATAAAAATAATAGCAAAAATTAAATAAATAATTTTCCATATTCAATTATAATTAAAATTATAAAAATATTTAAAGTTAAAATATTGTAATGTAATTGGTGCAATCTTCATTTTGTTAATTGTGGGTAGGCTGTCTGTAACAACTATATCTTTAAGACATGTAACACCTCAGTCTCTCCCGTGACCATGGATGCTGTAAAGCATTCGAAACGTCGGGAAACAAAAATACAAATAACTCCGCGACAAAATCCGAAAAGATAGTTTTATTTAAAAGTAATTTAGTTTTTGATATTAGCGCGTTCAAATAAATAAAAAATCAAACTCAGCCTCTTTATCTTATAATATTAGTATAGTATAGATTCAAGATAAAGTTTTCTAATTTTAACACACAATTACTAGTAGTATAACAGTTTTAACGAAATTGTCAAGAACCAGAATTGAATTAACATTATTCAAGCAAGTTATATTTAAACTGATGCTACTAAAATATACATACTTATTGTAAACAATCAGGAGTCTTAACACTGGCAGAATGCCAACATAAGCAAATGAAGTACCAAAAAAATGTTGTTTACAAAATATGTTGTGATAGTGAAGCTAAACTAAATCTTATTATGCAAATGAATAATACTTTATAGTTTAATTAAAACAAATATATATTTGATAATATTTTATGAACATATTTTGGCACAGTAACCTCTACTGATTATGATTATTACTGATATACGGAGGTCGTCCGTTCGATTACCGCTCCTATTTAAATTTAACATATGTTTTTATTTCAAATTTTATTAGACTTTGATAGTAAATGTAAACGTGCCTAACTGCCTCGGTGGTCTAGTGGATAGCATGTATGGCACATCTGGAGGTTTTGCCTTCGAGCCCCGGCCAAGTTTAATTACTGAGTTTTTATATTAAAAACCTCAAGTAGTAGCCTAGAATTGGGAAGCTAGCGGTGTTGGTAGTTGGAAGTAGAGAGCACGTATAACGTCGGTCCTGTGCCATAACTCTCACCGGTCGTGTCGAAGTATCGTCCCATCGGACTTTGAGAGTAAAAGGAATAGACTGTGCACATTCACTTGTACAATATAGTATCTCCTATCTGGCTAGTCTCAGTGAGATTGATGGAACGGAAGTCGGTTAGGAGCTTAGTTACTACATTATTTATTAGTTTTCTTGTGTTTTTTTTCTTATGTTGGGACATTAACGCACAGCACCATCTAGTTCCATGGTAAGCTACGAGGCTTATTTTATGGATACCAGATGTTTATATACTACACCCATGACTTAAGTACAAACATTCGTGATCGTCATACAAATGAATCTCCTAACGGGACTCTAGCCCGCGACCGCTGGCACAGCAAGTAAGGTCACTACAAACTGAGTCAAATGTGTCATCAAAAGTCAAAAGTTTATGTGTGATATTTTTCGCGTTGATAAGAAATATATAAGATAGACTAAATAAAGATAAAAAATAATTTACCGTAACATAGTATGAGGGCATTCTATCCAAATACTGTTGGAAAGCCAACTTCCACTCAGGTGTAGGTTTGCATCGATGCACCTTGAACAAGTCGTCCAGTAGCGGCAAGAGCACCGGATAGTTGTATGGTAGCACAAACAGATTGACACAAGTGAGGTTTGTCGATGCTTTGAGGTAACCAAAGGGATGGCTAACTTCAGAGTTCTTACAGCCACTATTAGCAACGAATACCTAAAAATAATAAATAAAATATACAGTAATTTTATTATTAGTCACAATTACTATAAATATAAAGAAATTTTATTGATTACTAGAAAATATTTTGTCCATTCAAGAGTCATTTGGAACTGCGAATAATGGAATCAAGAAATATGTAAAATATATGTTTTAATGAAATCAATAATACTTTCTTAGATTTACGCGAATATTTGACATTTTAAGTAAAACTATCTTTTCGAATTTTTTCGCGGATATATTTCGATTTTTGGTTCCCGACGTTTCAAAACATAAAAAATAAAGCAACTAAATATAGATTACTAATTAATAAAGTTTTCTAAAAAATTGTAATTATAAAAATAACAGCTAAAATGATTCAAATTAACAAATGTTGTAAGGTACTTTGGGGGCATTTTTCAATTTTTTGAATTCATTTTATTTTGTGGGTAGGTTATCTGTAACAACTATATAATGCCTTTTAGACATATAAAAACCTTAGTCTCTCCAATAAATCAATAATATTAAAGTTTCTCATCTATATCACTTTAAACTATACTAATCAATTGAAAAATCTGGCATATCTTTAATTTTATAACATTTATCTTTTAATTTGGTATACATATTAGTTACTACAATAGATTAGTTAAATTATAAATGCTTTGAATATAGGTAGCCTTTTTACTAAAAATTGCTAATAATTTATCACTACAAATATTTTTTTTTCTTTTCCTCATAAAAACCAATACAGCATAAAACATTAAATAATAAGGAAATTAAACATTCTTATCATTTTATAACCTAAACACAATTATTTTTTATCAGAAAAACCACATACCTGCCAACAAATCGTTGGCTGTTTCCTCGCTAGTATGAACTGCGTCAATGGGCTGGGCTCGAGTTCGTATTTATCGAAAGGCAGGTTATCAATCACCATTGGTTCTTGTGATGAGCACGTGAATTTCACAACGGGATGAGCAGACCGAGGAGGCTGGAATTTTAAAGTTATTGTTTAATTTCTTATCTTCTATTCTATTCTAAAGACAGATTAAATGAAAAAATAAAAATATTCCTTATATTTTACGAAAAACACCGTTATTAGAATATTTACATAAATTCTCCAAACTGTTGATTTCTATTATTTTTATTTCACTCTCTCTTTTTGAAATATTTAATGCACTTAAATATCTATTAACATTTTATACGAAATATTTAAATATTTAATTTTTATGATTGCAGTTCTTACAGAAATAAACTTCTTTTATCATTCGTTTATTATCACTCGTTTTTAATTATAAAATATATATTAACTTAAGTATGACTTAATATTTAAAAAGTCTATAATGAGATCCTTTTTTTTTAAATTACCACTAAGTTCTACACGAATTTCGCAAAAATGATATTTGATACTTCTTTACTAAGGTTTTAGCATAATTTTTGTTACATATTATTAATATTGTGTTTACAAAATACTTATGAGTGGGGTGTAGAAAATAAATTCCGAATTGAATTCCGAATACTTAAACCGAACATTAAAAAACTATAAAAAAAATCTTATCTAATTTTCGATTGAATAGTATTATGACAAAATTATATAAATAGCTATTTTTAAACACAAAACTACTAAAATAAATGTGAAAGTTTGTATGTGTGCATAATTTTTACTGCCTTCCACTGAAATGACCAAACGAATTTAGGTGAATCTATTACAATTTACACTATAGAACAGGGGTGGCCAACCTGCGGCTCTTTGAAGGATTATTTGTGGCTCTCGATAAATGTACCCGAGTACCTTTTTTATGCTATTATATTTAAAAAAAAATTTTTCGTTCTGTGTGTGTTTCAAAATGTCTTAAATTACTGATAACAAATTTTGTTGTATATATTAATATAAATATTTAATATGAAAGACTTAGTGAAATGTTTTAAAAAAAATCATTTCCATCCAAGTTAAGAATGATATGATTTGTCGAAAACTACGCGAAAGAAACATTTTATTCCACTTTAAAATTTGTGAAATCCAAACACCGATCAGTATTAACTAACCAGCATCTCAAAGAATTACAGAGAAGTGCTGTCACTGAATTTTAAAGTATTATCAAGAAATTAAAATAAATGTGTTTAATTTTTAATATTTAAATTCAATTCATATATTTTGTACTTTTATTTATATGTTTTCAATAAATATAAATTGTGTAAAAAAAAATTAATACTTTTTTTGGCTTTTTGGCTCGGTCTATCAGGAAGCTTGGCCACCCCTGCTATAGAACGAGCTCAAGCACCTCATGATAATAATAAAATGTACCAAAAGGTGGCGCTTTAAAACCTGCGTATAATACTATAAATACAAAAGGCACTAAAGGTACTCCTCCGAACAAAGTAAGGATAAAAAACTAGTACTCAAAAACTATTTTTAAGTCAATAATTCGTTAACACATCTCAAGTTAAAATAATTTGCTTGTTTTGTTTTTCATTTAGTATAGTTAGTGACACAGAATCTATTTACATTATAATTCAATTTATGTTAATTTATGTCACTTCTTATAGAATAAATATGCATGACCATCATTGGGATATCTCCAACTTGGCCGATTGTTGTTTAGTATAAATTTAACTACAGTAAATTGCATACTTTAAAAGTTGTCCTAGACACATGTATTGGAATAGGGTTCAAAGAAAAGTCACCGAAATCAAGGTCGCAGGTTCAATATTTTCTTCAAATGGATAAAATATTTATGTATATAAAAAGACACATTAATATAAGTAACAGACATTTTCAGTTGAATGTAATTATTAATTAAAATTATATTCATTAAAAAGTGGCAATTACCAAAGACGGAGCATTAGGATCTGGTCGAAAAGACTCTGGTATGGGCCAGAAGCCAACAGCAAAGCCCTTCTGAGATACTGTCCGAGGGACATAGATGAGACGTCTACAGGAATGCCATGCTTGGGGTGCGCTCGCTTGATTAGCCATTCCCGTTTGGTAGGGACCACCATTCCACCTCTGAAAAAAGAAATTGTTATTTATATTACAAGTTGAAGTATGCAAAAGGCTATTTTGTCCCAGTACATGATTTGGCTACATCTAACATATAAAATTCTCAAGTCACAATGTCTGTAACAAAACTCCTCCGAAATGGCTTGACCGATTCTTATGAAATTTTGTGTGTATATTCGGTAGGTCTGAGAATAAGACATAAACTATTTTTCATACCCCTAAGTAATGAGTGTGGTCCATACCAAAAAAAAATTTAAAATTATTTTGACAACATTTTATTTTTTATTTTTTTATGATTCGGCATTAAAAAAACATACAAACCTAAATTTTCACTACGAACCAATACATAGATTTTTTACAAAATCATAGCTACTGAGCGAAGATACTAGTAAGTACAACAGTTTAGTTATTTTTTAATCCTACTAACATTATAAATGTGAACATTTGGGAGGATGGATGGATGTTTATTACTTTCACGCCAGAACGGCTCAACGGATCTGGATGAAATTTTGCACAGAGATAGTCTGGAATATGGAGCACATAGGTTACTTTTTATCCCCAATAATGTACCGTTCCCGTGGGATAGATTTCTTATTGTCACTAATATAATACATATGAACACACTCATATCATACAAGGGTTTGGTCAATTTGGTTTGGTTGGTGAAATTAGAATGGATACTAAGCTCGCAAACACCAATATAATCTCTTGTCTACTACAATTAAAATGAAATCACATGTAAAACAAAAGTACTGGTCGACGTAGCTAGGGCCGACCTCGGCACCACACCTAACATAAATAATAATAAAACAAAAGTATACATACTCCATTTCTATCAACATCTGGATCCAGTTCTTTATCCCCTTCTTGGTTTATATCATCGCCTTCGCCCTCCCTGTTATTCCCCCCATCAACAGGCGGTGGATCAGGACCAATTTTCTCAAAGTTTATAACAACACCACTTTGAACTTTTTGTACGAGACTGTCGATGCACTGCATCAGCATGCGATGAGATGTTATACAATAGGATCGACCTGGAAATAAGAAGGTTATTTTATCATATTCTTGGATAGCCAAGTTAAAATATCATAGCTAGGCAGATATTGCTCTAAATCTATACTTATATAAAATTATAAATAAGCCGAATCTGTACATTAAATATTTTTTGAAAAATCTTATTGAAATAGACATAATTATTATCGATATATCGATACAGAGGCCGAATTTATAGTTTTTTATAATTTTTGTCTGTCTGTCTGTTTGTCTGTTACTGCATCACGGAAAAACCACTGGAGGGATTTTGATGAAATTTGTTATGATGATAGCTGGTTATCCGGGTCAACATATAGGATCCTTTTTATTGCGGGAAAATATCTCATCTCTGAGAAATCTATACTAAACGTTATAACGTAAGTAGGGATGCACCCGAGCGGAGCGAGGGTGAGTCGCTAGTGGTTATATAAATCATTGAATCTTTTCTTAAATATTAAAATTTTAAGTTATCTTTTACTTTTTCACTATAATTATAGTTTTCCATATATTTAAGATATATTGCAAAACCTACGTATTTTTTGAAAACTAACAATATATAAATAACTAGCATTTCCCGCGGCTCCGCCCGCGTTTAGATGACCAAAAACTAAATTCTTAGGTTTTACATATTAGCATACTCTTACAATGCAGTTTTTGTATTTTTTCTCAGAAATGGAGATATTTTCCCGCGGTAAAAAGTATCCTATATGTTGACCCGGGTAACCAGTTATCATCATACCAAATTTCATCAAAATTCCTCCAGTGGTTTTTCTGTGATGCGGTAACAGACAGACAGACAAAATTTCTAAAAACCAAAGATTCGGCCTCTGTATCGATGATAATGTCTATTGCAATAAGATTTTCTAAAAAATAATGTACAGTTTTGGCTTAGTTACAATTTTATTATATGTATAGATGATCTTGTATGAAAATGTCAATACAGATATATTATTTTTAGCGTTTTACATAGGTAAAGGTAATTTTTATAAGTATAGAACAAAAAAATACGGTAATAATTAAAATAAAGTGTTATAAAGGATAATTAGTATAAAAGGAAAATATCAGTGTTCAACAGAATGCTGAGAATTTAATTAAAATGTATATTTTATTTCTTTTACACTTTATAATTATAATATGAAAAAAAAACATCTTTTAAAGGTGAAGTTAGGTTAAGTTATAATAAAATATTATGTTGCAAGTATTTTCAATGAGATTTCTACTCTAAAAAAACTCGATAAACAGGTTTCTAAAGGGCCTATAATGTCACCCCTGTTTGCTAACTATTTAGCATAATAAATAAATACAAATCAGTAGTACTAAGTAAAAACTACTTTCAAAGTAGTAGCACAAAAGATGTTGCAGAATTATAATAATAATTATATAGTATTTATTGATTAATTTAAATATTTCTTTTGGAAAATCTGGCAACATTTATGATTATATTACAATCATATGAATTGTATTCATTGCATCATGTTAATATTAATCATATAATATTAATCATAGTGCCAACTAAACTAAATAAAAAAAAATCAGTCAAGTGCGAGTCGAATTCACACACGAAAGGCTCCGTACCATCGTAAATGTACTTTTTATTAATATGACGTTTACTCTATGTATGTAGTATATTAACTTTGATATATAATCGATTACGAAAGTTAAAAAAATGTTTCTTGTATTTTTATTTTTATTATTTGTTGTTATAGCAGCAATAGAAATACATAAGTACTCTGCGATAATTTCAACTCTCCACATAATACAGTTCATGAAATAAAGCCCTCTGACAGACGGACGGACAGACGGACAGCAGAGGATCAGTAATAGGGTTCCGTTAGCACCTGTCGGGTACGGAACCCAAAAAAGACATAAATATAAGAAGAAAACAATTACAATTTTCAATAGTAATTATTTTGAGTGCTTAAACCACGTAGGTTTATTTTTTTATATAAAGTGCATTTATTAAAAGCTTTTATTTAACATGCAATGTTTATGTTATGTTGGTATGATATGTTATATATATGGCAAGTTTTGACTATATGGGTTAAACCTTGCTTCTTATCCTACAGAGTCGAAATTTTGCATATTGGTTCAGTTTTGATGACAATGATTCTTTATGATATTTATGACTTGATTCTCCATCTAGGATTGGCCCCCGACAAATCGACCCATAAACGGTGTACAGTAAAGATACGAAATTTTATTTACGCATTCAATTATTAGAATTATTTTTATTTATTATTAAATTATTATAATGAGCTATTCTAAAATCTATCATGACTTGATTTTTTTGCGTTTAAATTAAAAGCTTGTTTTCAAAAATGATTTTTTTTTCTATTACTTTATTATATATTACATAATATATTATTAACCATAAAGCGTAACATTTATTGCATCATATCACATACATATGGAATTAATCAGTTTGTCCGCAAGTCAAAAAATTTCATTAAATAAAAATAAAACCATGAATTAAATTAAAATATATTATCCACAGAAGCATTTGACAACAATTTAAAAAAATCTACATCCTTCCTATATGCACCTATTTCTCGTAATTCATTAATGTTTAAATTTTATTAATTATTAAAAAAATAAAATAAGTTTTACTTACCACCAGTGACCTCACACATAGCATCTATAGGTGAGGAGTCCGAAGGTACAAGGCCAGTGTCCCTTTCCACAGCAGGAGTGCCAGCTAACCTTAGCACCAATGAGAATAATCTTTGATCCCATCTAAACGGTTCCCTTGTCAGCTCAGAACCAGGTATAGGGCAATTCATAGGCAGATTAAACTGTGGAAATATGAGTAATTAATATTTTATTTATTAATACTTTCTTAGACTGACGCAAATTTTTGACATTTTAAATAAAACTATCTTTTCGGATTTTTTCGCGGATATATTCTGATTTTTGATTCCACAACCACCAACCAAACCACCTATTTTTCGGGACCAAAAATCAAAATAAATCCGCGAAAAAATTCGAAAAGATAGTTTTTATTTCAAATTTTATTTAATATAATATTAAATGTAATTATTTGTAAGATCTTTCTCTCAAACATTAATTATCAATGTGTCATCTTAATTTTTGAAAATGTTGAAAATTTGTTTTTTTCTTAATAGCTACACTCTATTATGGCAATAAAATAAAAGCTAATGTTATTCTTTATGACAAAGTTTGTGTATTGATATGAAAATAAAATTGTATGACTGCTGCAAACTTATTGTAAAAATATCAAAATGATATTGGATATATCATCTATAAATTTATTGGATCATATTATATGTTCATTGTGATCTAATAAATTTATAAAAAATAATATGATTGATATGCATATGAGTGTCAACCAGGATAATTTTATTAAATAACTAAAACAACATTAGAATTCTTGATAATTAATAATATTCATAATTTTTTGAAACAAATCCACCGTTTATTAATGAGGTAACCGAAAATTTATTATAATCTACTTTTTTTATTTTGTTCAAGAAGCTATTCTTATAAGATTACAAGTATAACAATAAAATAATGCTGTAAAGCTCTTCCTAATAAGGTATATCCTGTTAAATTATTCATCCACAGACCACAAGCAACCAAATAGAACCATGCAGATAAGATATGAGCGACAGTAAATGTTTGCATCATAACTAAATTAACAAATATATATAATCAGACAGTATCTTTATTTAGAAATATTTTTCAGACTTCCAAAAATCCTACTAATATTATAAATAATATAATAAATACGAAAATTTGGAGGATGTCTGGACGTATAGATGTATGGATATTTGTTACTTTTTCACGCAAAAAGTACAAAATGGATTTTAATGAAACTTTTTATCCCCGAAAAATGTATGGTTCCCATGGGATAGACTTGTTACTGTTTAAGCTAGTAGTATAGATTTTATTATCAGATATTTTTTTTATGTTTAATTAATTACCCATAAATTAAATTTCTATTAACATGACATAATTTAACATCAACATAACATTAAATGATAAGCTTAAGGGCTTAATGAATGAGAAATTCTAATAGGATTATTTTATTGAGTTAAACAAAAAAATCAAAACTTACTTCTTCTTGGATACCAGCATTACTTGATAGTTTTCCTCCATCAGTAATGACCACAATAACAGATGGTTCTAGGTAAAAGGGACATCTTCCTTGACCATAAGTATCTATACCAGTCTGCATGCGATTAATATTTAGCACATCAAAGGCATGTTTTAAAGCAGCACCCATTGTCGTCAACCCAAGGCACTGCAGGTTCTTTAATTCATTAATAAATGTGGCTAAATTCTCTTTCCAACCAGCCTACAAAATAAATTAGAAAAGTTAATTGTTTATGCATAATTAATTTATATAATTCTCAAACCCCGATATCTTTAAACGTTATCAAACAAAACGAAACCGCAATCGCATAACGCATTCCGCTATACACTCATCCTTTCATATTTCCCCCCAATTCGCCATTTCGTTAAATACGTTTTCTCAACCAATGAGCGAGCGACGAAAGCGCAGTCGCGAGCGATATCGCGAAGGCAGCAACGGCAGCGGTTCGTCCTGTTTACGTAGTGTTTTATATTTCAGTAAATTTCGTATTTTCAACGTATGATAATGTTCTAGTTTCCAGATCACAGTGTATTAAATAAAGATTAAGCAGTACATGTCTTGCTATTATTATTTATGCTTATACTACAATAATATCTTCAAAAAACGTGTTCACTCTGATATACTAACCTTGATGTTCGCGGGTGGCTCTTCGAAAGTTAGAAGCATATACCTATCGCCTCTGCTTTCAGGAGATCGTTGGCGAACCTAGGACATAATATTAATAAGTTCCACACACTTTACACGCGATAAACAAATCGATCACAAAACGAGGCGGTTTGAGGAGTCGATGACACTGCACGTACCTTTACGAACGTTTCCACAGCGCCCTTGGCTACATCGAGCAACGTTGGGCGTCCGCCCAAATAAGCTCTTTGGTTCATAGAAGCTGATGTATCTATTAAAAAGACTATGATAGTCATCGTGAAAAATTTCCTAAATATCCTTCTAAATACATTAAAATATGCGCACGCTATTATGAACAAGAACAAAAATGGCTGCTACATTGTACGCAGACTCGCTGAGAGGCGACCGTCCGACAGCCGCTTCGACGAGCAGCTGAACAAGCTACGCCACGAAGACTCCAAAAGTACCACGTGACCTAATCATACATTCGGCTATTCTCGGTCTCCAATAGAAAAACGCTCGGCAAAGATCGGAGCTAACATTAATGTTGCCATGTTATATACGAGAATTCCCTTAATTTATAATGTAAGTGTAAGGTTTGTTTTGAATTTCTAAATATAAAAATGAAGCATCGTTTTTATTTACTGTATATTAATTTAGAAAATGACTCAATATTAATGTGTTGTCTTTAATTAGTATATTTATAACATATTATTTATTTTCTTTAAAATATATAACTATAATGTTATTTTTTGAGTAAATAAAAAATATATTATTGCTTTAACTTTCCTAGTGTTATAATCAAAATATAAAATATTTGTATTATTTTCAAAAGCTGTTATCTTATGTTCAATATTTTTTGTGATTTCGAACTATATTTATTGGAAAGTTAAAATAATGGCAATATATAAAGATGTAATTTAAAGAAAACGTAATATGGACTATGGAGCATCTGAACATATTTTTCGTAATCTTCTATGTGTTTATTTCATATTTATAGAAAAACCGTTACTATTTAAACTAATAAATCAAAAACAAACACAATATCATAAAAATAGTCTGTTTTTATAATAAATTTTATAAAAGTTCAATAAATGTTGCGGGAAATTTGAAATTCACATGACATCATAATCCTTACAATTCTATTATGACGTAAATGTTGATGAATTCATCATTAACCATATTCTCAAGAGTACCTACCTATTAATATGGTGATTTTTAATAATGTTAAATATTGTGTACACATTTGTTGTTTTTTTGCCCTTAACATTTTTTATTTGAACCCAATAACATTACGTAATCCTTTATATTGGTAATTTCAATTTTTTATAATAAGTTTTATTTGAATGTTTTCACCAAAACTCACGTAAAATAATTTACAAGTCTCTCCTTATTTGAAAGAACTGTGAACAATATGAATATTGTTTAAATTCCAAATCGTAAAAGCTTTTAAAGTGGTAAGGTAAGGTGAATGGGTAAATTCACAATAATAAGTTAATAATATGTTAAACTCCAATTTTACATGTCCAAAATGTACTTATTTTTTCAGTCATACTAATGATATAGTGATAAACGTGTCGACGACACGTTTAGCTCAGTTTGTACTTGTAGTGACCTTACTTGCTAAGCCAGCGGTCGTGAGTTCCAGTCCCGCTGGGGCATTCATTTGTGTGATGATCACGAATGTTTGTACTCCAGTCGTGGGTGTTTACTGTTTATAATATGTATGTATTTAAAGTTATATATGTGTAGTGTATCAACCATCTGGTATCCATAACACAAGTCTCGTAGCTGACCATGGAGCCGTGCTGTGTTAATGTCCAAACATATTGTTTATATTTATATATTAATTATTTAAATACCTATATACCTAATTAGCATTTATGATATTTCTCGTGTCAATTTTGAATATTATTAATTATTATATAAAGAGCCTAGTGTATACTTTTCAAAGTACTTCTCCAAGATTTAACTTTTAAAAGGGTTCTTACGTATTTTTAACTTACTAGCGACTTCTAGCTTGATTCCCCATACAAACGTTCATCTCTATTTTCACGCCCTTAAGGAATGATTTCCGGGATAAAAAGTATCCTATGTCCTTCCCAGGGTCTCAAACTATCTTCTTACCAAATTTCATCTAAATCGGTTCAGTAGATCCAGAGATTACCCCCTACAACGTCACAAACTCACAATTCACAATCTCACAAACCTTACCTCTTTGTAATATTAGTATAGATAAGTATTTTTTCCTCTAAATTCTGTAGGACTAAGTTATTCAACAGTTTTTTTTTGTCTTTTATTTTTAAAATACTAATAGAGATCTATTACTTCCCACGGGAACCGTTCATTTTTCCGGGATGAAAAGTAACCTGTTGTAGACGTTTGACCGGCAATATAAGGTATCGGAATGTTAAATTTTACTAAATTAGGTGCGTAAGTTGTTGTGTACTAAGCTGTATAAGATACTATAGTTTTTTTACTATCCCATGGGAACTCTTATATTTTCTAAGATGAAAAGTATCTAAGATGTTGACCGGAGATATAAGGTACCACCATGCAAAATTTCATTTAAATCGGTCCAACAGTTTCGGAGATTAGCCCGTACAAACAGACAGACAGAGAAACAAAAAAATTGAAAAAAATCTGGATTTGTTCTATTTTTCTTCTTACGGGATGTAAGAAGATAACTGACTCGGTTTTTAGAATTTTTTTTCTATGTACAGACATTCGACCTCTACAGTTTTATTATATGTATAGATAGAATAAATAACTTATAATAAAACAACAATATATAATAATGAAAATAGTTATAGCGAGTGTGTCTTAGGAGATAGACATATACTATTGAGAACTTTTCTATCGACCTTTTAAAGACTTACAATATTCTTGTACAATGTTTTGATCTATCTCTTTAGGTTGAGCCAGCGTTGGCCATATAAATTTCTAAGGACAATTCGATAGAAGCAGTTATTGTGTTTTCCCGTGGGAATGAATAATTCGCCTGTCGTAACAGGTATCCTAAATATTGACCCGAGTACTAAGTTATCACTATACAAAATTTAGTTAAAATCGATTCAGTACTTTTTGCGTGAAACGCGCACATCGATTTGACTAAGTTAGTTTTATTAACATTAGATATTGCTTAGGAGATATAAATATATACTATTCAGAACTTTCCTGTAGGACTTATCAAGACCTACATTTTTTTAGTGTATTGTTTTGATGTACTCGTATGTATGTCTTAAGATTTAGCCAGCGGAAGGTTTCTAGGGAGGACTCGATAAAACCAGTTATTGTATCTTCCCGTGAGAAAGAAAGGTTTTCTCGAGTAATAAGTTATGACTTCACCAAACGTTGAAATCGGTTCATTACTTTTCGCGTGAAACGCGCATACAAAAACAGACAAACAGACATACAGGCAAACAGACAATTTTTTTAATAATTATAGTTTTGGGGTCTATGTTGTGTACATAATACGTTACAAATAAACGAAAACATCTATCCCACGGGAACCGTACATTTTTCCGGGATAAAAAGTAAACTATTTTTATACTGATGTTCCATCAAAATCCAATTAGTAGTTTTTGTGTACTAAGCTGTATAAGTTACTATAGTTTTTTGACTGTCCCACGGGAACTATTTAATTTTCTGGGATAAAAAGTATCTAAGATGTTGCCCGGGGATATAAGATACCACCATGCCAAAATTCCATTTAAATCGGTCCAATAGATTCGGAGATTAGCCCGTACAAACAGACAGAGAAACAAGAAATTTGAAAAAAATCTAGATTTGTTCTATTTGTCTTCTTACGTCCCCCAGACTCGGTTTTTAGCATTTTTTTTGCTATGTACAGACATTCGACCTCTAATCTTTTATTATAGTATAGATTTTTTTATAAACTTACTTTGAAATTATAAAATACACTTTATTTTATAATTCTGTTTAAAATATTATGTTTGCACCATAAATGGGCCTAATTTATTTGACTCTTTACATAATTTAGGTACCTATCTTAATATATTTGTTACTTTTGTTAATTTGACTAAAAATAAACTCAAAATTAGAATTCCTATATTTTTAACCAACTTCAAAAAGGAGGAGGTTCTCAATCCGATTGGTTTTTTTTATATATGTACACCGATTACGCTGAGATTTATGATCCGAATTACGAGATTATAATAATGGTATAGGTTTATATTAAAGGTATTAGATTTGTATAAGAGGTGTATTAAATTAAATCTTTATTAAGTTATTTTATACTTTTTAGTTTTTGAAATCGGTTTTTTTAAACGTAGTTTTATTATCGCTATATGTCCCTAACGTTAAGTTAGTGACATACACATAGATGACATAGAAAAACACGTTATTTTAATTTTTTTAACTAATGTACCTAAATAGGTACAACCTTCTAATATTTAGCGTCAATAATATTAATGTATAAAACCTAGACGCAAAAAAAAATTGCTTTAAAAAAATAGCGTCGCAAATGATGTAAAGTCAAACCAAAGAATCAAACAAATAAAATTGTATGTTCTGATTGTGCTAACATAAATTCGAACTTACGGGTATATGAATATGATGTTATGTGATCTTTTCTTTCTTTTTTTTTAAATTATCTGATAATTATAATTTATATCCTGAGATTAGTGCATTCAAACAAAAACACTCTGCTTCTTTAAAATATTTGTATTAAAACAAATCTATCCCACGGGAACCCTACATTTTCCGGGATAAAAAGTAGCCTATGTGTTATTCTGATGTATGAGCTATATTATAGTAAAGTTTCATTAAAATCCATTCGGTAGTTTTTGTGTTAAAGAGTAACAAACATCAATACAGCCAGACATCCATACATCTTCACAAACTTTCGCATTTATAATATTATTAGGAGTAACAACGTTAAGTCCCGTTAAAATCTGCCGTTCGGAGGTTTGCCGGAACAAACCGACAGACAGGCAAAAATTTGAAAAATTGTGTTTTTCTTATAAATACAGTATACTTATAATTTCATATACATTTGGCAGACAGGCAGACGGACAAAAAATTTAAAAATTGTGTTTTTCTTATAAGTACCTACCGTATATAATTAGATACAAATTCATTTGGTAAGAAGCTGTTATTTTGACATTACAAAGAAACGCTTCAATTTTATTTATCTGTATAAATACCTAGATTACATAATTTTGTAAAAAGTGGTTATAAAAAAGTACACTCTCACACGAACACTGTACTCGCCAATAAAAGTTCCCCTATCAGTTGATCCCGGATATTGCAGGAGCTATGTTTCTTTTCCGCT